GCGGCTGTCTCTCACCACATGGTCTTTCATCCTGGACTCCTTGAAGGACTAACCATCTCAGGGAAACATCTAATAGGGTAAAAGAAGAAGCTGCAAGATTTCTTAAGGCCTAGGCTTGGAAGTCATACAGTGTTACTTTCATGATATTCTACAGGTGAAAGAAAAATATAAAACCAGCTCGGATTCAGAGAGTTGAGAAACAGACTCTACTTGGTGGAAGAAGATAAGAAATACCGTGGCTATGTTTTTTCAATCTACCAAAAGTTGTGGTAAAGATTCAATGTGATTACGCATGTGAGCATATTATTTTTCTCTATATACATAAGTAGGTATAGGTTCTGGTAGCTGTGACATATACATTATGTTTTTATAACTACAAAATTCTACAACACTCAGCAAGAGTCAGAAGCCAGCTTTTGAAGATAGAGTTGGTTGTATTATGAGCGATCTATTTGCCACCATCAATGGCAGGAACTGCGGTTACAAAAAAGTCTATTTAGCTGTTTATGAAGTCATGACTTAGTTTGCAAAGGAAGACCTAGAAGCTGATTTTAGACTATGCTTCTTCCAAGTAAAGCTTGAAAATGCTTTATTTCAGTAAGCTTTAAACATCCTTGAAAATTCTTGAGATGGTGTATCTCATCTGGATTTTTTTTTCTCCCTAACAACCATTAATGCCCTTCAATTTTTGGTGCATGACCAAATTAGTGTTTCTCCCATCGTTTATAGATTAACTCCTTTCCCATGGCATGGAGTCTTGTTGGGACTGTCCATCAAGATACTCCATCATCCTTTGGCCAGGATCGTGCCCAAGTTCCCTAAACAGCTGCATCAAAAGGACCTTATCCTTTGAATCTGAACTCTAAAAGAGGTGACAAAAGGACCAAAATGGTTGGAATTGATTTACTCACACGGCATCACCCTGGAGAGGTTCTCTGCTTACCATTATTCCAGAACCGCACTACTCCTCATTTTATCCCTAAGTCAAGTTCAAGAGCCACTCATAACTTGATAATAATTTAAAAAGTGGTTTTTTTTTTGCTTTAATTTGCAATAACTAGTTTTCTTGCTTGTAGACAAAGAACCTTTGCTGACACAGATATTTATACAGGAGGTATAAAATGATGAGTGGCTTGAAGCTAAAAATGCCACAAGATTTCAACTGATCAAACAGCAGACAAAAGATTTGTGTTTTGTCATAGTTTTCAGGATACTAGCAAGTTTCCTTGAATAAGGAATGCAACCTTGTCTTTCATGGATCTATCATGCACCCAGGGAGAGTAAGTACAATGGCCACAGGAAATACACATATATATACACATATATACACATACACATATATATACATATATACATATATATACATACACATATATACACACACATATATACACATACACATATATATGCACACACACATACATACACATATACACATATATATACATATACACATATTTTCTGTAGCCATTGTATTTACTCTCCCTAGGTGCATGATAGCTCCTTAAAGACAAGGTTGCATTCCATATATATATATATATACACACACACACATATACATATATATACACATATACATATATATACACATACACACAGACATACATATATATTTAGGTTGATGCAAAAGTAATTGTGGTTTTGCCAGTACTTTTAAATGGCAAACACTGAAATTACTTTAGCACCAACCTAATAATTCAGCGTTTAACAACACAAGAAATATCCCCAATGGTAAGTGCCTGATGTGGTGCTTGGCATATAGTGGCATACTATAATCATGTATTAAAATTAATGAACTATTAAGTGAATGATTCGGCTAATAAGTGCAGTGATGTTAGAACAAGAGAGATGGGCATGAGCTAAAACACCTAGGAACAAGAAGGAATTTGAGCAGGGTTTCTTAGGGTGAATAGAATTCTTTGAAATAAAGAGATGGAACCAAAGAATTCTAGCTCGTGGACTTAACTTGCAAAGAGTGCAAAACCAATTTAAGAAGAAAAAAGATCTGTGATAGGTTTAAGGGGAGATAGGCCCTCAATCATCGGGCATCAAGAAAATCTTATTGCAAAGACACAGACTTTTATTATTCGTTACTGAATTTTGTCATAAGTAGCATCCTACTCTAATATATGTTGATTGCCTAAATAGTGGGAATATTTCTTATATATTTAAAAATGCATTTACCTTTAAGTAATCAAGTTACCCCTATCTCCCCTTCTCCTGTAGATCTTCCACCATTGTGGGTAGAATATGAGACTTATTGCTCAAGGAAGAGAACATATGGCTTGGAGCTGCCATTCAGTGTGAAGAGAGAGTCTTTACTGGAGAAAGAGGCCAATGAATAAAGAGGTTGCAAGGAAAAGCAAGGGCCAGATAAAAGCATTTAATTCAAATCCCTTCCTTGGAGGTGAAAGGTTGGAAGGTGGTTTAAGGTTGAGTTAGAAGTAATGGAAATGTCCAGATGTGCTGGAAGAGGGGACTTGCAGGGCACCAGGATTTGCCCTTTACTTCTTGGGCAGAAGCCTTAGGAAAGGCTTGTGTTTGGTTGCTGCTGTCCAACATGTCACTGAGTGTAAGATTCTGGGAGAGAGGGCACAGCGTGTCTTGCATGCTGCTAACAAGGAAAAAATGCAGTCTTCAGATTCCCCCATGGGTGCAGAGCAGCCCAGAAAACTGGTGGGCAGGACAAGGGTTCCTGGATGTCCAACAGCCCTGCTCTCTCCTGATCCATGGTGAATTCTCCTTTTCCCAGTGTGAATTCCTTCCTTACCTCTCCCTAACTGGGGAGCTTTAAAAAATATCCATGTGCAGGATCCATTACAGACTACTCAAATCAGAAACTCTGGGCATTGGGGCCTGTGTCAGATTTTTTTTTTTTTTTTTTTTTTTGAGACAGTTTTGCTCTGTTGCCCAGACTGTAGTGCAGTAGCGCAATCTCTGCTCACTGCAACCTCCACCTCTCAGGTTCAAGCGATTCTAGTGCCTCAGCCTCCTTAGTAGCTAGATTTACAGGCATGCACCACCCCACCTGGCTAATTTTTGTATTTTTAGTAGAGATGGGGTTTTGCCATGTTGGCTGGGCTGGTCTTGAACTACTGGCCTCAAGTGATCTACCCTCCTTGGCCTCCCAAAGTACTGGGATTACGTGCTCAGGCATGAGCCACCATGCCCGTTCTGGTATTAGATTTTTTTTTTTTAAAGAGTCTCATTATTTTACTGCATAGCCAGGGTTGACAACCGCTATCCTAGGTAGAGTCTAGTAATGTTTTAGGCTTAAGTGAAATATCACTTCCTCAGCGACCCCTTTCCTGCTCAGTCCTAGCCTAGGTCAAGTCCCCTTGTTATATATCCTCCAAGCAAGCTCCCAGTACTTACCCTTTTTGGCACTTAACTATTGGGTCATTATTTGTTGCAAGTCTGCCTTTCCTTGCTGACTATCTGCTTTGTGAGGGGAGACACCTTGCTGCCTTGTTCACTAAATTGTTGAAGTCAGCCTTGTTCAAATTGTTGAACCTGCCTTGTTCAAACTGTTGGAAGTCTGGTTCAACAACACACTAAGTGGTACACAGTTCGTGCTCAGTAAACACATCCTGAACGATCTCCTTTACTCAGCCAGGAGTGTGTAACCAAGGCTCCCATTCATGAAACTGCTAAGAGACCTTTTACAGGTAAGACCTTAAAGTAGACCACATACATACCTACAGGACTATAGCTTTAGATCAGCTCATAGTTCCCACAGTTTTACTGTTTCATGTATCATAACAGTTCAGCATGTCCATCATCACATTACAAACCTGTGTGGTGGACACTATGAGTCCCATCTTACGATGGGAAAGAAATTGAACAACTTGCCCAGTTCTCTCCACCCTACTCTCTGGGCCCCTTTACAAATGATTACAAATAAGGAAAATCCCCTTCAACAGGATGCATTCCCAGGGTACCTGTTTGTGCTGAGCTCTTATTTCTGGCTTGCCGGCTGGCTGGTGGCTGCTTGCGGGGATTTTCTGGGGGTCTCCAGTTACAGCAGCCAGGACCCAGTGCGCGACTTCCGGCCTTCCTAAACCGTTACAGGGTGCAGGCATCATCGGGCATTATTTATATAAGGATGCCACAAATACGATACCTTTCAAAGCCACTAAATTCACTGTGCCGTGCATACTTGGGGAGAGGCAGCTGTGTGTGTGCGGGGGCGGGGGGCGGGGGGCGGGGGGGGAAGGATGTTAAGTAGAGTCCTCCAGATGAACCCCAATCTTAACCTGGGCTGGGCAAGAGGGCCATCCCTTGACCACTCCCATCCTAAATCCTAGGTTCCAACTTTTACAGGCCCCTGGATTGGACTCCGACTTAGAGAGAGCAACCTGGATTCAGGCCTGGCTGGTTTGAATTGAACCTCGGAAGAGCCACGTCTGGAGTGGGCTCTCGACACCCCGGGCAAGAGGGCGCGGCGGAGCCCTCTCCTCGGTCGGCACAGCAGCCCCTGCCGCGGTCCCGGCCTGCGACGCGCCCTGCCTTAGCCTCCCAGCCTCCGGCGTCTGCTGAGTGTCCGGCGGGAGAGGCGCAGGGAACGCGCTACCCGGAGGCGCGGGCAGCGGGCACTGGTCTCCTCTCAGGCCAGGGCCTCCGGGGCAGCCGTCTCCAGCGCGCATTCTTGGTGCAGGTGGCACGGCTTTCCGCTCCGGCAGGGCTTCCGCGATCACTGGAGAGGCAAATCTCAGATCTAGACCTTCCAACTGCCGAAACCGGCTAAAACCGCTACTCCACCTCTTCCCATTTCTCTCCTCCCCACCTCAAGGCAAAAAGTCCCAGGCCGGGGAGGACCTGATCACCTCTGCCTCCTCCCACTGCGCTAATCCTGCGGGCGAGAGGCCCCGCGCCGAGGCGGTGGCTGGCAAAGGGGAGTGGAAAGGGAGGATGGATGGGGCCGGGGGGTGGGGTGGTGATGAGGGGGATGAAGGAGGGGGTGTCATTTTCTTTTTCTTTCTTTTTTTTAAACAAGTATTTCTCTCGCGAGAAACCGCTGCGCGGACGATACTTGAAGAGGTGGGGAAAGGAGGGGGCCGCGGGAGCCGCTGCAGAGACTGTGGGTGCCACAAGCGGACAGGCGGCCACAGCTGGGACAGCTGCGAGCGGAGCTGAGCGGAGCGGTGGCTGCAGCGGCCAGGACCGGGAGCAGTCGCCGCCGCCTCCTCGGGAGTCGGAGCCGCCGCTTCTCCAGTGGGTGCAGCCGGGGTCCCGACGGGGGTCGGTCGGCCACCGGGGCTGGAGCTGCGGCCACGGAGGCTTTTGCGTTTGCGCCGCGCGGAGGGCAGGGACGGGGACTGGGGTGAGGGGCTGTCCCGGAACGTCCACAGCTGGCGCTGGCCCTCCCCTGCCTGACAGCTTCCTGGCCCGGGGCTCTTGGTGCCGGGCTCCGCGTCAGATGTTCGGAGGGCGGTGGCAGCGCCCGGAGTCGGCGGGGACGGCGCGGCGGGCTTCCAGCCCGGCGGAGAGGGCAGGCTGAAGAGTGGGGTGTTCAGAGCGCGCATCGCGCGCAATTCGTGCCACTGGAAAAATAAACCCAGAGAGCTCGCCCTGGGCTTAGGACCGCTGGGGACATGGGTACTTTGCGCTGCGCTCTTCTGGCGACGCCAGCGAGGCCGAGGGATCGGCTGGAGTTGCTGCCGCTGGGGGCCTGGGGTTTCCAGCCAGCTGTGGACCAAACGGTCTTCCCTTACCCAAATTAACTGCGCCACGCGCAGGCGGCGCACGGGTTGGGCTCGGGAATGGGGACCGCGAGGCTTCAGCATCCCGATGCCCTGAAAATCTCCCCGCCTCGGGGATTTGTCTCTGTGTTGCAGCTGGCAGGGGCCGCCTGAAGTGGGAGCAGCGCCTGGAGAAGGCGGGAGGAGCCCGGCCCGGGGGACGGGCGGCAGGAGAGCGGGACCCCGGTGGCGCGGTGCGCTTCAGGGCGCAGCGGCGGCCGCAGACCGAGCCCTGGGCGCAGCAGGAGGCGGCGGGAGCCGGCGGCGGCTCGGCATCATGCGGCGAGGGGGCCTGCTGGAGATCATCCTGGGATTTACCGTGCTTTTAGCGTCCTACACGAGCCACGGGGCGGACGCCAATTTGGAGGCTGGGAACGTGAAGGAAACCAGAGCCAGCCGGGCCAAGAGAAGAGGAGGCGGAGGACACGACGCACTTAAAGGGTAGAGAAACGGCCCCCTCCTTTGGTGTGGGTCTCTGCTTCCCCGTCTCCCTAGTTTCAAGATCCAGAACAACTGTCGGGGTGATTCTCCCTGTGGAAGGCTCCTTGGCAAGATCTCTTGGGGGCACCTTAGAGGTGCTAGGGTTGCTTAGTCCTCACCCCGTTTGTAGCCAACCTACCTTGCTCCTTCTCCCAAAGATTTCTGCCCCAAAGGAGAGGACACGATTAAAAGGAACCTTGGGCCATTGTTGAGGCAGACTTTGGGAGGCAAAAAGGGTTCCTTGAGGAAGAAGGGGCGGAGTTGCGAGTGGGAGAAGAGGAGAAACCCATTCCTTTTCCTGCAATACCAATTCTGGTTGTGTCTAGAGGAAAGTCCTTTCCTTGGGGCCATCTTGGTAGATGCTGTATTTAAAAGTGGGCAAGGAAAGGAAGGGATTCCCGTGACAGTCAGAGGAGAAATCAAACAGTACTTGACTCTCCAGTAAATTATGCTTGTTAAAATTAAAATTGGGTTTTCTGGGCAATGCTTCGTTTCAGATGTCTACACTGGAAGCAGAATAGGGCAAGTGGTTCTGAGAACTGGTTTTTTGGGCTTGTGTGGGGCTATTTCACTGCAACAGCAGTGCTGCTGTGTCTGGCCTCATCGAGATATTTTTAACCAGTGGTGTTTGTACATGCAATTGATCATTTCACTGGTTTCCCATGCCCCCTATTATAGATGTTTCAGCTGGAAAAATTTAAATTAGGCAGGTTGACTAAGGGTTGTCAGTTTCCTGTATTGAAGGACAGTGAGAATACATTTCCTTAAAGGCTTTTCAGATTGAAAGAGAAATTCTTCTGCAGTTGTTTAAGTTAAAGCCTCCATCGAAACAGCAGGATGGATTGTAAATGGTCCCTTTTATCTTCTTAGAGGAGCCTGTTAAACAAACCCAGACAGTATATATAGGGAGGTTTTATGTTAAATTCTTACTGTTATCACTGATACCCTTTTTCTGAGTGGTTCTGTAGCTTTATTATATGGCTCTGGGTCACTAAGTGATGGTGTCCAATTGGATATGTGGCTGATCATTTCACTTATTCTTTTTTGTTGTTGTTATGGAGTGTTATAGTCATGTATATGCAGTAAAATTTGTGTTTGTATGACCCAGGTATGAGAAGAAAAAGTGCAATAAACTGAACAGACCAGTTTTTGAGTCCTAGTCTGGAGTAGGGACAAGATGATTGTAAGAGCCAAGCGCTTAGACTGTGATAAAATAGCACAGAAAATAGTTACGATTAATTCGGTTGCATCTTGGCCTTTGTGGAAAATAAACCCAGAATTCCGATAATGTTGGAAGGAAATTTGCTTATCATAGCCTGACTGTCATCAGACAGCAGATGTCTGTTGCCTTGTGTGCAAGGCACATGGCAAGTTCAATAAGTAGACTGAAGCTCTGATTCCCCTATGTTCTCAAGAAGACCTCATTTAGTCCAGGGTTCTTCCTTCAAAAACATATTTCTCTTACATAATATTACCTTAATATTTATTCTGGTAACATTGCTCCTATGTACAAAAGAAGTGGGGGGTTAATTCTGTGGCTGAAGATCTGCAGAGAGGTGTGAGGCCTGGTCAGACATTTGTCTCATTTCTCTGGGCTGTCACCAAATAGTGTGTTCCCTGGGAGGCACAGACCGAATGTGAAAAAAGAAAGTAAGCTTTACTTCGTTGCTTAACAGGATGCCACACTTATACTCACACTAGTGCTTTTTCTGTGGAGTTTTACATTTGTTTGTGATTATAGAGAGATAACTCTCTGTGCTCCTCACAATACTGGATCATTAACACAATCCTTATCCTATTGCAAACTATTTATAAAGCCTTCCTAAAAGCAGGATAGTAATAGAATTGTAATTATGTGTGCTCCTAATTCTCATTTAACTATAAGATTTTATAGGCCAGGTGCGGTGGCTCACATCTATAATCCCAGCACTTTGGGAGGCTGAGGTCGGGAGTTCGAGACCAGCCTGATCAATATGGAGAAACCCCACCTCTACTAAAAATACAAAATTAGTCAGGCATGGTGGCGCATACCTGTAATCGCAGCTACTTGGAGGCAGAGGCAGGATAATTACTTGAGCCCGGGAGGCAGAGGTTGAGGTGAGCCGAGATTGCGCCACTGCACTCCAACCTGGGCAATAAGAGTGAAACTCCATCTCAAAAAAAAAAAAAGATTTTATAATAAGTGATATACACACACACACACACACACACACACACACACACACACACGGTGATGAAAATAATAATTTAAAAATATATACAATTAAAAGTATTTCCCTGCCGCCTTTCAGAGACCATTTTCTTGTGTATTTTTCTATAAATCTTATAGGCATATGTATACATGTACAAATACACACATAAATATATATGTATACATACACACATACGTATGTGTGTGTAACCTTTTTAATACATGAAATATACTGTTCATGCACTTTATGAACTTTTCATTCACTTTTTACATATTTTTAATTCCTCTGTCTGTTAACTCATATGGATTTACATCATGCATTTTCTTTCTTTTCCTTTTTTCTTTTTTTTTTTTTTTTTTTTTTTTTGAGACATGGTCTTGCTCTGTTGCCCAGGCTGGAGTGCAGTGGCGCAGTCTCGGCTTACTGCCTCCACCTTCTGGGCTCAAGTGATTCTCCTGTCTCAGCCTCCAGAGTAGTTGGGATTACAGGTGCGCATGCCACCAAGCTCGGCTGTTTTGTATATTTAGTAGAGACAGGGTTTCGCCCTGTTGGCCAGGATGGTTTCAGACTCCTTTCCTCAAGTTATCCGCCCACCTTGGCCTCTCCAAGTGCTGGTATTACAGGCGTGAGCCTCCGCACCCAACCCCATTTTCTTGCACAGAATCTCATTATGTGGCTGGAACAGTTCCCTAGTGATGGCTCTTTAGATTACATGAAGTCTTTTGCTATTACCGACATTCTTCTACATACCCGTGTTTACATACACGTGTTTATATGTGGTATGGATTAGTAAAAGTAGAATTGCTGGATTAAAGGCTTTCCCATAGATTTTAAGCAAACACCAATTCTCATGTTAAATTTGAATAACATTTAAAATTTATTCCCTCTGCTTATTGCCATTACAGTCTCATAGGAATAAATTCTTTAACAGTGCCCTGCTGTATAAATCATCAGAAAAAGCAGCTATGTGTTACATTTTTCCAGTTATTGCTTAAAATTTCTGTTTTTGCCTGTTAAAATATTACCTGCTTCAGAACTAACCTCTTTGACTATGGTGAAATCTGTTTACCATTCTGATTGGAAATGCACAGTTTATGAAGTGAAAGTGATTTGTAACCCCCAAGTCTGCCTGATGCCCAGTTGGTGGCAGCAACTTTCAGCACCTCACTAATCTTTCCTCTAGTTAAAAGGTGCTTTACACTCATCAGTATCTGCTGTGCACTGGTTCCATCTCCCCAGCAAATACTACCTTCTTGTTTTTCTCTAATGTGGCAGGTGACTACAAAATCTGCCTTGGTAGTCTTCTTAAAACACATATATATTCCTTGTCAACTCCGTCTCTTCCTGGATTAGAAACCTGCCTTATTTTCCCCTCACGGGATGTGTAGTCCCAGATTGTCTTCCTCTCCTCCCATCCTGTTGCAGGTGTTCTTTTTTTTTTTTCTTCTCTTCCCACTGGGCAGCAAAAGTTGTTCCACAGTGGAAATTTAGGCATCCTCAAATTTCTTCCCAGCTTTTGCTGTGTTTTCTTAGAGTAAATTGCCAATTTCTGTTTTTACAGGAAATCTTTATTTTTTTTTTAATGGAATCAGTGTGGTCCCCATCCACTCTGCAAAAATTATGTTTTTCTCTGTTTTCAAATGAGAATTGTTCAAGTTTCAAAACTCTGTGAAACAATAAATGTATAGTAGTTTTCTTTTGCTTGGGCATTGCTTGACGTGTGAAATAGCTTTATGAAAAACAATAAAATCCTAACGTTATTTGTTTGAATTTCAATTCATAGGAATTTTTCTCAGCTAAATTCTAAACTATAATTAGGCAAAAAGTGTGGGAGATAGTCCAGAAAAAAAATGCCCAACACTACTTGAATAGCAGTAGTTATGCACCATTTATTTGTGATTGCCTTTTTGCTTTAGCTCCCAAGTAAGGAAATATTACTGTTTCCTGTCAAAGGGAAAAGTTCTTTCCGGTGAGATCTCCTTTCCCAGCCCTTGGATAAGATGGATTGAGACTTCTGTCCTTGTTGCATGGTTTATAGGTACATGAGACCCGTTCTTTTTGACACAGTTTTTCTCCTTGTGCATGATTCCTTTTGGTCTTTGTTTATTTGTTTATTTTTTTCCAGAGGTCTTGATGCCAGAAAAATACACATGGAACAGTTCATACACTGGGTAGATTATGTGATGGCAAACTCCAAGGGATTAATTACATAGAAGTCTGTTATTAAAATAAAGAACTGTAATAGGGAATACAGAAAAAGTTCTGTAGACTTTATAAGGTTCATTTTACTTTATAAAGGGGACTTTAAGACTTCATCTGAAGTCAGATGGGCTAATAATTAAATATGGGAAAGATTCCTGCAGTGGTATGGTTTACATTTATTGAAAAGATTATGCTAAAATATTGGGACACAATTTTTTTTAAAAAAAGGATGTAGTATTCTTAAACAGAAGATTTCAGCAATTCCACACGTGAGACAAGAAGGTAGAGACAAAATATTTATTTATGTGACTCATTTCATAACATTTAGGACATAGAAGTGGTTAATAAAAATGTGTAAGTTTGTAAAACAAATTAATTAAAACATACATCAACCTATGGTGAAATGAGATGACAGCTGTGGAAATGGAGTACAGACTTCCCTTCAACCTTATTTGGAATTTTAAAGAATTCTAAAATGTTCCTCTATTGTCTTGTGTAGCACATACTTAAAAAATTATAGTATTATACTGATGACTGTAATCAAGCAAAATGCTAAAAAATTATTAA